GAAAACCTGGAGAACCACCCCACAAAAAATGGCACCCAATGGACCAGTATTGCAGCCTGCAGAAATAATTTATATATTTTGGAAAAGGACCCCAGACACCCTATGTCAGCTTTGGTATGATGGTATGAAGTGACATCATACCATCTGGTATGGTATAACAGGACATGGTATGGTATGGTGACATGGTATTGGTATGGTATGGTAACATGGTATTGGTATGGTATATGGGTTTTCCATTCCATGGTACCATGGTACTGGTATGGAGCTCATATACCACCCCGGAATGGGTACTCCCAAGGTACCCTAAATCAAGGAATTGATGTACCTCATAGGTACCCAAAAATGGGTGACTGAAGTGGCCATTGCATGGTGCCATTGTCGTGGGGTCATGGTGCCATTGTCATGGGGTTGTTGATGCCTGTCGTGGACCGTGGTGAGAATGGAGGGATGGGTGGTGGGGCACATGTACCATTGGCCCATGACATTGCCACATCATGGGCACTGTCCCTTGTTCCACGTTGGCATCGTTGACGACATGGATGTTGTTGGCGTGGGCATCATTGGCTCCACGTGTCGTTGATGTGATGTGGCAGTGAGGGGTGTTGAGAGTGGTCATTGTTGTGAGCGTCGGTGGTGGTGAGAGGGTGGTTTAAGGGAAAGGGAAGGTCATGGTAGTGTGACCATGCCACAAACAGGAGACGTGATGATATGGCACACCCTCAAGTAAGTCACATGATGCCACCCCGCAGACTGAACAAAATCATGAATCCTTATTGCAGCTATCACATACCCAGACTTATATGTAAATCATTAGCCTTCCATTCATATTTGTATTTGATTGATAGAAATGCAAGTCTGGCTTGTTCATTGCATAGTCTATTTCACTTTTTTTGTAGTATTCATAATTAACAATAATAAGTAATAAGTAATAATGGACTGGAATCACTGGACTCCACTGGAATCCACATGGATTACGTGGGGGATGGTAAAGACCTTGTCTGATAGGTCTGATAGTGGTAAGAGATATGTTCAACCACAGCTGCAAGTGTCGATCGCCGTAAGGGTTGAGCTTGACAGTACTTATCACTCCCCCACCTGTTCCTACTCAACAGTACTTTATTGTGCCCTACCTATTCCTGTCAGACTCTGGTCATTCCTGTGGATTCCAGTGGAATGGGACTGGACTCCGCCGGAGTCCGCAGGAATGGGACCAGAATCCAGTGGAATCCACCAGAGTCCTGTCCCATTCCACCAGAATCCAGTGGAGTCCAGCGGATTCCGCAGGAATAAGATCACAATCCACCATAAATAGATACAACAGATACAATTTTTCTCTTTTCTACATACATTTACACTAGTATACACTAATATACACTTCTGCACACACTAAGATTGCACATTTCTCTTCACTGTTATTAGTTATCCTCATCATCTTGAACATCTTCATCTAAACCCAAGTTTTCCTCTTCATCTCCTGTTTGTGGATGACATACTTTGTGTGATAGAATATCATAGTGTGTAAAAACCAGTTAAAATTTCCTGGTGTCATACATTTTAGAATTGATTGATAACCACCAAGCCATGCATTGAGCTGTTCGCAAACCTAAAAGATTTATAGTATTGAGCTGATATTTAATGAAAATAAATCATTGATTACCTGTCTGTGACTCTGTCGACAATGCTTGCCATTCTCCTCCGAGTGCCTTGTAATTGCTATATACGTCTCTCGGCTTTTGTAACGGGCCTGTGGTAAAAAAAACCACCATACCTTTCTATGATCTCGCTCAAGAGAGTCGATACTGACCGTTATGCATTCTACGCAGAGACACAACAGAGACAAGTCGTTTCCGCCTGTATCATGCGGTGCTACCAATGCACCAACCAAGACCTTGTTTGGATAATTATTCATGCTCTGAATACCTCGGGGGTCGGAGGGGATTCATTCATGTTTAATGGTATTTGAGGGGTGGAACTACTGTATGATTACGACCATGTCTTCACGTCACACTCAGTAAAGAGCAAAGTCGGAAGTTGGTCAGAAGAAAGTCACGAATTTGAGTTTGTATGACTAAATGTCATTTTTTTTAAGTGTTTCTGAGTATGCTCGTACTACAATAGTCAAACAATAGTCATACATTAGTTGCACACTGCAAATCATATATTACACTGTACTAGTCATATTGTAACGGATGTGACGCATCACACTCATACGTCTCATCTAATCTACAGATCTCGGACTCTCTACCATTCTCTTACCCCGTCTGTCTCTACTTCAAAGTGATTACGTGTCCTCAACGCTTACGCGTACTCTACCGATTACGCGTACATCTCTAGCTTACGCGTACACCTCTACCACCTTACGTAAACCCCCTCTGTCTTAGTATAAAAGGGCCAACTGTAGCTACATACTCTTCAGTGAATATAGTCGTTCAAACGGTCTATTCTCGCTACCTCAGTGTATCAAAACCGCCCGCTGTTACCTCCAGTCACAGCGGTCACGCTTCTGCTACATATTTTTGACCAAAAACCCGACTCTTAACCCGACAAAACCCCCAACTCGACTTATCTTGCCCGTCAACTGGACTACTTCGGATTGATCACCCGGACCCTCCGTTTACTGGCAACAAAAAAACCTCTTGCTTTATTATCTTCACAAAAACTCTAAAACACTATGTCTGCTTCTCGTTACACACTCCGAACCCGTTCCACCCACGCTGGCGTAGCTGCCCAGCCAGGTACGGTTCAAACCCCTAAAATTAGTACTAATGTACTCGGTTCACAGGCATACTCGACTGCGACGAATGATCGCGCCATTGAGGAAACAACGCGCTCCTACAGCGACGTCGTGGCCTCCCGACCTTCCTCACCAGCGTCCGCTATCGGGGAAGAAGCGCCTTCGGGTGATACTGAAACCCTTGCACACTCAGCAGGGGTGGAAGAAACTTTAGTCGTTAAAACTAAAGACGTTAGCCCAAACAATACAAAAAATATTGTTACTAACCGTAATGACCACGAGAGCGATACTTCCTCGCTAAGTGAGATAAGCAATCTGGATGATAACCAAAATCCGTGGACCACAGTGGTCCATAGGCGCTCCAGAAGCCTGGATTCTTTGAGAAAGAACAAAAAGACTACAAAAAAAGTCGAAATAGCTCAGAACCGAGTTAATGACTTAGCTGCAGAACAAGACACTGTGGTTATGGAAGCTGAAAAACAATTAACCAGCGCCCAGAAAGAACAACTCTCGCGTCGCTATGAGAAAGTTCAAAGAAAGACGGCACCACGCGACA